CCCCGTGCCTCCCGCATCCCCTCAGTGCTGCTGCGTCCTTGCGGCTCCCTGTGCCCCTGCTGCAGCTCCCCTAAACCCCGCTGCGCCCTCCTGAATGCCTCCTAAATCCTTTCCGCGCACTCGCACCCCTCCGGTGTTCCCTGACATCCTCCCGCAATCATCCCTGCAGCCCTCCTGTGTTCCCTGAAATCTTCCCTGGAGCTCAGCAAACCTCCCTGCATCCCTGTATCCCGGGCATGACCGTGCATTTACTTACTCCCTGCATCCTGCCCAGCAGCAGGAGGATCTCCCTGCTCCCCTCCTGTGCCTCCATCCCCTTGCCATGGGGAGCTCGTGCTGCCCTGCCCCTGCCCTTACCCCTGCGCCCACGGGAGGGGATTTTCCTCTCTGAGAATGCACAGGTCAAATCCTGCAGGTGCTGTGCCTGTACCCATGGCTGTAGGGTGGCCCCCAAAGGGCACTGGCAGGTGGCTGGAAGGGAGGGAGCCTAGGGGATGGCAGTCCCAGGGCTGGAGAGCAACCTCACCTGAGCATCACACAAGTAGGGAAGACTTTGTAGGGTGCTAGGGATGGGCTGAACCCCAGCAGAGCCACCCAGCCCTGGGGCTAAGAGTGGTTCCCCTGGCACAGGGAGTGAATAGCATGGAGCCGGGTGGAGGTGGTGCTGCTCTGGGGCGTCCCAGCTCTGTGCAGGGCTGTGCTTTGCTGCGAGCAAGGAAATGATCCCGTTTGGTGTCCCAGGTTCACGTTTCTAACGGGGAGCGCGACCATGGCCACGGGGGGCACAACGCCCCCCCCCAGCATCCCTCGTCACACCAACCGCCTCATTAATGAGAAGTCCCCGTACCTTCTGCAGCACGCTCACAACCCTGTGGACTGGTAAGAGCAGGCTCCTGCCTTTCTCCCTCTTCTTCTCCTTGCATCCACGGGGCTGAGGGACTCAGTGCTGTGGAAGCGATGGCAGGCGAAGCAGCCTGGCCTCCTGTGCAGCTCCCAATGGGCTCTGAGTCCATGCTCCTGAGCCATTCATGCTCTGGCTGTCCTGACTGCTCTCCACCAGGCAGCAGCTTCTTGGGAAGCTTTAGAGGAGCCCAGGTCCTGGCAGCTATAACCACTGAAGCTCCTTCCTTGTCTTCCCTCCACAGGTACCCTTGGGGTCAGGAAGCCTTTGATAAGGCAAAGCAGGAAAACAAGCTGATATTCCTGTCAGGTAACCAGAAATGAGACATATTTCGTGTTCCCATGCGTGTTGTTAGGACCAGAGTTCTTGGCCAGATTGTAGGAGCAGAGCCCAGGAGGCCCTGCAAGTGTCCATGGCCCTGCTCCTCCATCTCTTCTCTTGGGGGGCAGCAGATGTTGCCCATAGCAGGGTTCCCCCCCGGCTGGGAGATCTCCCCATAACGTGTGTCCTGCTCCCTGCCAAGGGCCTTTCCTCACTCACCTGAGCTTGCTTTCAGTGGGTTACTCCACCTGCCACTGGTGCCATGTGATGGAGGAGGAGTCCTTCAAGAATGAGGAGATCGGGGAGATCATGAACAAGAACTTTGTGTGCATCAAAGTGGATCGTGAGGAGCGGCCAGATGTGGACAAGGTGTACATGACCTTCGTGCAGGTGAGGAGGCGTGGACAGGGATTGGACTGGCTCTCTCAAGTTGAGGTTCATGGTCATGTTCCTGTATGTGGGGTGGTCTGATGTATAGGTCTGATATATGGGGTGGTCTCTATGGGGCCATGCATGACCACAAGGGTGGAGAGAAGTGCGTGTCTGTCCTGCAGTGAGGCACCTTGATGTTAAAGAGCAGAAGGTGCCTCTTGTATGACCTTGGTGCCCCCGTGATTTGTCTCTCAGGCAACCAGTGGTGGAGGTGGCTGGCCTATGAGTGTCTGGCTGACACCGGACCTCAAGCCCTTTGTAGGGGGGACGTACTTTCCCCCTGAGGATGGAGTTCATCGCGTTGGCTTTCGGACTGTGCTGCTCCGAATTGCAGAGCAGGTATGGAGCAGGAATGGTGGAGCAGGCAGTGCTCAACCAAAGGGACCACGGGGAGATTGTGGCTTGATGGGTGACTGTTGAGGTACAGTCATGAGAAGCAGTGTCCCCTGTCAGAGCTTTGGCTGGCTTAGAGGTGGATTTGACCTGAAGGAGCAGTTTGGATTGATGCAAGGCAGGAAGCAGACAAGATAGGGAAGAGCTGACTTTCTCACTCTGCATCTTAGTGGAAGGAGAACAAAGATGCCCTGTTGCAGAACAGCCAGAGGATCCTGGAAGCATTGCTACACACTACTGAGATCCGTGTGCGGGGCCAGGAGTCACCCCCACCATCCGAAATGGTGATGGCCACTTGTTTCCAGCAGCTCTCCAACTCCTATGATGAGGAATACGGCGGCTTTTCCGAATCCCCCAAGTTCCCCACCCCAGGTCAGACTCTGGTGCTGAGCCCCACTGTGGGGCAGGCAGCACTGTGGGGCAGAGCCTACCCCACAGCCTCCCATTTTCTCCCTGTATTTCAGTGAATTTGAATTTCCTCTTCACATACTGGGCCCTGCACCGAACAACCCCACAGGGTGCCCGTGCTCTGCAGATGGCTCTGCATACTCTCAAGATGATGGCCCATGGGGGCATCCATGACCACATCGGTCAGGTAGGAGGGAAGCCGTGGGGGTAAAGCCTTGGCATGCCCAGGAGGTGTGGGATGGGACGTGTCCTCTTGGCCTTTGCAGGGCTTTCATCGCTACTCCACTGACCAGCACTGGCACGTCCCTCACTTTGAGAAGATGCTCTATGACCAGGGCCAGTTGGCAGCTACGTATAGCAGAGCGTTTCAGGTATGGCTGTGGCATCCCTCTGCTGTGGATCTCACTTGAATGCTGCCTGGGAAGGCTGGCTTGGTTTGAGGAGCAGCTTCGAAGCCTGTTCCCCAAGATGATGCTCATCCCATGGGCTTGGAGCAGGCCCCTACTCCCATTCATCTACTGCTGTTCATCCAGAGATGGAGCGCAAACCCGTGACGGTATAGCCCCAGGGTTTTCGGTGTAATGGGAGGCTACAGCCTTCTGGCTGGCCTGCAAGTCAGCAAACACATGCTGCTGCCTCTAGGTGTAACTCCAGGGTTGCTCTCCAGTGCCCATAGATTCCCATCAGAGATCTTACTCTGAATCCATCCCACATTTAAAATCCCTGGACTTTCAAATGTGTTTCCTCTCTTTTGAATCTCAACCTCCACTCTTGCTGTGTCTCTTGCCTGCCCCCTTGTCCTTGTAACACTGGTATCTGCCCTGCAGGTCTCTGGTGATGAATTCTTTGCCGATGTTGCCCAGGACATTCTGCTCTATGTCTCACGGGACCTGAGTGACCAGGTAAGTTGTTCCCCAACCTGGGCCAAAGGGAGCTGCTTACCCTGCCCTGGGATGTGTCTTGGGGCTGCTTTTCCCTGCCTCCCTTCCCAGCTGAGCTTGGTCTGGGGCACTACTGTGTCTCACTGTGGGCTGCCAGCTCAGCAGTGATGGAGACCTGGCTATAAAAGGTTTCTCTGTTGTTCTTTTCCCAGTCAGGAGGTTTCTACAGCGCAGAAGATGCAGATTCCCACCCGACCACCGAATCCAGAGAGAAGCGAGAAGGAGCTTTCTGTGTGTGGGCAGCTGAGGAAATCCGGGCTCTCCTTCCGGACCCTGTCGAGGGAGCCACAGAGGGGACAACCCTGGGAGATGTCTTCATGCACCACTATGGAGTGAAGGAGACTGGCAACGTGGACCCCATGAAGGTAAGGGCATGGGGGAACGGCAAAGCATCCCCAATGCGCGCAGGGTCCAACCCCTCTCATCCCGGTGGTGTTCATAGAACGGGGCTGTCCTTCCAGGACCCCCACCAGGAACTGAAGGGCAAGAACGTCCTCATTGTGCGGGGCTCCCCGGAGCTGACAGCATCCCGGTTCGGGCTGGAGCCGCCGCGGCTGGGTGCAGTGCTGCAGGAGGGCCGGCAGAGGCTGGCTGCTGCCCGGGCACAGCGCCCGCGCCCGCACTTGGACTCCAAGATGCTGGCGGCGTGGAACGGTGAGAGGTGGCTCTGGGCTGCAGGGGCCACCACGTTATTGGGGGCTTGTAGCAACGAGTCCTGATGGGAATGGGACACGGAGGTGATGGGTGGGCTGGGGTGTGGAATGCGAGAGCGCTGTGGGGAAGCAGACCCTCACCTGAAAGCCATGGGGCTGCCGAGTGTCGGGGTGTTGCTCTGGCTTTATTTTCTTCTCCTGTTGCCAGTAGAGAGCAGCAAAACTCTTCCCATGGCTCAGCTGCTCGGTGTGGGTCTGGGGAAAGGGATGGAGGTGGGGATTCAGGACCCCGGCAGGGCGCAGAGCCCATCTCACTGCTGCTTTAGCACGGGGACCATACCTCTGTGTCCGGGTGTCCTGCAACAGGTAATAATGCAGTGCCCCAGGCAGTGTTCCCATGGATATGAGTGCCTGGATAGAAGAGTGTGCAGCTGATGTGAGTTAGACCACGTCCTGCAAACAGAAAGACTCTCTTAAGCCCCATTTCTGCCTACAGGTGAAGGTTTAACTCTTGCTGGCTCTGCAGCGCTCTGCCCTGCTCTTTGGTCACAGTAGGTGACTTAGAGGAAAGAGCTGATGGCTGAGCCCTGCCTTGAACATCGGGGAGGGTGAGCTTCATGCTGAGCATCCTTTAGAGACAGTGACATCCGCACCGGTTCCTTGTGCCCGCCCTGAGCCTGTCCCTGTCCCTGTGCCTGTGCAGGGTTGATGATCTCGGGCTTTGCCCAGGCCGGGGCAGCCCTGGGCAGGCAGGAGTACGTGAGCCGGGCTGCGCAGGCAGCCGCCTTCCTGCGGAGGCACCTTTTCGACCCCAGCAGCGGGAGGCTGCTGCGGAGCTGCTACCGGGGCAAGGACCACGCGGTGGAGCAGAGGTGAGCGGTGGTACGGGGTGTCTGCAGCCCGACAGGGCACCCCCTGCCCTCTGCAGGCCACGTCCTCCTCTCCTGCAGGCAGGGCTGAACGTGGAGGGAGGGAGGCTGTTTGGTGCAGAGCTGCCTCCAGTGCTGTTTTGGACGGATTAGTGCCCTTCACCCAGTGCAGAGGAATGAAGGTCAAATCCTTTCCCATTCCTCATCTTGGCATGAACCTTCCCCTGACTGTATAGAAACCCCAGGCTCAGCTGTGTGATGGCACAACCACCACTTGTCTTGGACTGAGCTCTGCTTGGCTAGCAGAGACCAGTATGTAGGGTTTTGCTGGGTTGGAGAGCAATTCCCACTTGGCCAGTGTAGAGACCCTCATGCTCCTCCCCTGCCATTGCAGTGCTGTGCCCATCCAGGGCTTCCTGGAGGATTATGTCTTCGTCATCCAGGCTCTCTTTGACCTGTATGAAGCCTCACTGGATCAGGGCTGGCTGGAGTGGGCCCTGCAGCTCCAGCACATGCAAGACAAGCTCTTCTGGGACCCCAAAGGCTTTGCATATTTCTCCAGTGAGGCTGGCGATCCCTCCCTGCTCCTGCGCCTGAAGGATGGTGAGCTCGGGGACATGGCCATGCCGTGGGTTATGCTGTGGGGCAGGGGTGATGCCTGGCTGGAGGACTAAGCCATGGGGTGCTGACTCATTGGGTTGATGGAGAAGATATTGTCCCCTGCAGACCAAGATGGAGCAGAGCCCACTCCCAACTCTGTCACTGTCACAAACCTGCTCCGAGCAGCTTGTTACTCTGGCCAGACAGACTGGGTGGAAAAAGCCAGGCAGATCTTGGCTGCCTACTCAGAGAGGCTGCAGAAGATCCCAATAATCCTGCCAGAGATGGCCCGGGCCACTGCTGTCTTCCATCACAGCGTCAAACAGGTACAGGCTGGGGCTTCGGTGTCCCTTACATGACCTGGGTGGTGTGGGTGCAGTCACAGCTCTGATTTCTCCCTCCTGCCATCCATGCTCTCCCTGGACAGGTCGTTATCTGCGGGGACCCACAAGGAGAAGACACCAAAGAGATGCTGCGCTGTGTCCACTCTGTCTTCAGCCCAACCAAGGTAGAGGTGCCAGCCCTCCCTACTCCCTGCATAGCCACTTCCCATTGGCTGTCATCGCATTGCCTGCTGCTGCCTGCATCCTTTCTCCCAGTGCGATAGCACCCATCCTCCTCCTCCTCTGTCCTGCCTTCCTTTTGGGAAGCATCCTATCCTTTCCATATCCATAAGCACAGCCTGCAGAGCCATGGCTGAGCCCCTGCACCCCTCTCCCTGGCACAAAGCACTGGCAGCCCAGCCCAGGGAGCGGCTGCAGCAGTGGCTGCTGTCACTGCTGGCTGTTTACACAGCTCAGCCTGAGCCCAGCATCCCCATCCTGCTGCTTCCCAACAGCCATCCCCCTTTCCATGCTGCATCGTACGGAGATGCAGGCGCTCCTTTTTCTACCCGCCTTCAGCCTCCCCTCATCTCTCCTTCCCCACCCCAAGGAGCTGCCTGAGGCTGGGCAGCCCCGGGTCCATTCCAGGGACACAGCAGCTTTGGGAATCAACTTTGCCAAGGAGCTGGGAAAACATCACAGCTGTGTCCCCTGCCACCAATGCTCCCTCAGTGCTGGCAGGGTGCTGGGGGCTAAGCTCGTCTACAGGAGCACAATTAATTAGGTCGTTCCAGTAATTAATTCCTTATAAACCTCACGTTGAAATTCTTGCTGTAATGATAAAATGACATTGAGGTCACAGGTTTCAGCGGACCCTGTGACCGGAGCAGCCCTTTGCCACAGGCAACTGCCATGGGGCTGTTAATGCTCCAGGGTGATGCCAGTGGTTGCTTCCCTGGGGATCCTGGTGCTGGGTGCAGAGGTGACTGGATCCCTGCTCCTGGTATAGATCCCTGCCCTGTTAATGGTCTTTAGGGTAATTATGGAGGATCCCATTATCTCCTCAGCTGCAGAGCGCTAGCCTGTGCTCGCCTTCATCCTGGCCCCGCAAGAGGACCTTAGGGAGCTTGTGAGAAAAATGAATAATGAATTTCAGATTGGACATGAATTGGTAATTAATCACTCCTGGAATTAATTCCAGACAAAGGAGAGCGGGGAGGAGGCTGCGGGAAGAACAGGAGGGGCAGGCAGGGAGACAGGCTGAGCCAGCGCTGCATCAAGGCAGGGGCTGAGCAGTGATGAGGGGTGATGGGGGACAGCATGGGGCTGCAGCAGCCCTTATCCAGGACAAGGACGTGGGGACATGGTGACCCCATGGAGCAGCCCCTGCCAGGTCTGGGTGAGGCTGCATGGTGTTTCTGCTGGGTGTCATCCCTGGCTTTGTGTTTGTTCCTGGTCCATCAGCAGAGGATGCTGCACGCAGGGGTGGGAGATGTGTGTGCTGTGGGTGGCAGTGCTTAGTGTCAGCATCCCTTGGTGGCAGCAGGATGAACAAGTGGCAAGTGTGTCAGTGCTCGGTGGGCACCACAGTGGGTGCATCTGGTAGGGCTGGGGCAGATGAGAGAGAGCCATATACTCCCAACAGTGGGATGCTGCCGCTGTGCCTTGGGCTTTGGGAATGGCTGGTGTTTTGCTCACCCTTTGCATTTGTGTGGGCATCAGGCTCCCGGGTGGCTCCTGGCCTTTCCCTGAGGAGCCCACAGGCCCTGAGGCTTTAACAAACATTTTCCCTCTCAGAAAAGCTAATTATCCCGGCAGCCCTGTCATCACCCTGGCTGTGCTGCTCTGTCAGCTGGGAGAGCCCCCAGCCCATTGCTTGCCTGTGACTGAGCTTCTTGGGAAGCAGCTGAAGGGCTGCAGGGTGGGATGGGATGATGCTGATACTGGCATTGGAGCTGCCCCTGGGCTGGGTGGGTATCCGCAGGGAGCTGACTGCCTCTGGGACACTGGGTGTTGGTCCCTGCCAGAAAAGGGAGGCAAAGCTGCTGGGGATGGTGTGGATCACACACTCCTTCCAGTGCAGGTGTGATGGGGATGTTGCCACTGTGGGACCCTGGCAGAGCGCTGGCTGTGTCCCCTCGGCTCCCCGTCCGTATCCCTTCAATGGATGAGTGCATGGGGGATGCTGCCTGTGCTCTCCAGCTCTCACAGCTCCTTCTCGGGCAGGTGCTGATGCTGGCAGATGGAGACAGAGCTGGGTTCCTTTACCGCCAGTTGCCTTTCCTTGCATCCCTGGAGAGGAAGGATGGGAAAGCCACCGCCTATGTCTGCAGCAACTTCACCTGCTCCCTGCCCGTCACCTCGCTCCAGGAGCTGCGTGGGATGCTCTGCCCATGAGCCCTCTGCCCCTGAGGGTCTGAGACACCCATAATAAACCCACCCTCAGCATCAACTGCATCCTGGCCTGTCCCTGGCAGCATGGTTGGGCTCTGCTTGCACCATGGCTCTGGCAGCATCTCAGCAGAACCAGCTCTGCTCCCCAGTGCTGGCTTTGGGATGGCCAAGAGGTACCCACTGAGGAGCATCTCCTCCCCCTGTGCACACACGTTTGCTCCTCGCCTCTTTTCACCAAGGAAAAGGAAAACAAATTAACTATAAATCCCAGTGTTAATGGAGAAGTCAGATGGGAAAACTATTAGAGTTCCTATAGCAACCCAGGATAACACTGTCAAAAGCACCTGGATGACTTGGGAGTCAAGTGCTTCTGAAAGTGTTACCAGCTACAGCAGCCACAGTGTTTTTCCATTACAGGGTGGATTGTAACGTACATTAAGTTAATATATAGTGCGTGCAGAACCCCTGCTGGTCACCACAGCTGATGAAAACGTGCCACACGACTCAGCCTGAGCACTTCCAAAGAGCTAAACAGCTTGTACTGGCTTTGCCAAGGGTGCAGAAACCCAGCTCAGCTTGAGAAAGCACATTTCTAAGTCTTGTTCTGTTTGTAACAGGGCAGTGCCTGCATCCACACCAGGATGGGGTTTGGGGATGCGCTGTTCTATGTGGGTGCTGATGCTGGGGTGCTTGGGGCTGCCTTTGCTTGCATAATGTTTCAGTAACAGCACAAGAAATAAGCCCTAAAACCACCTTTTGAGCAGTGTTTGAGGAGGGAGGGTTTGCCCTGAGCTTTCCAAACAAAACCTAGGCTGGACCGAGGGTCTCACCCAGCCTCACTGGGAGCTTGGCTGCATCCTGCTGATGCCGGCCATGGGGATGGCACTGTGGGATCTTGGCAGAGGGATGTAACCCACCCTTTCAAAAGTGGGATGCTGTTGCCAGCCACACAATCTCCCTTTGCTGCAGCATAAGCATTATCCTTCCCTTCCTCCCTCCCTCCCCATCCCTCCTCCCTGCTTCCAGAGGGGTGAATACTGTGTTTTCAGCATCCCTCTGACACCCCAGGGCTCCCCAGCACAGCATCCCGCACCCTAGGCAGCGGGATGCTGTCACTTGGAAGCAGAGCGGCTCTGAACCGTGCTCCTGTTGGCTTTCCAATGGGTTGTGCCAAGATCTGGTGTAACCAGCCAGGAGAAACGCATTTGAAGTCAAAGAGGAATTTTGCACCTCATCTTGTGAATGCTTTCTACGCCTGTGGAAGAGGAGGGGGGTTTCTTTTCTCTCCTCTCTTGGTTTTCAGAGCTGAAGTGTTTCTGGAGATCCAGCTGAAAGTTGCAGTTGTGGCAGATGGGTGGCTGCTCTCCTCTGGGTTTGTCATTTTAACTTGGCATCTGTGCTGCTGGGATTGATTTGACACCCATCCGCACGAGCGCTGGGACCGACTTGGGACTGGGAGAGCATCCTCAGAGAGCAGGGCTGGTGCTGAGCACCCATGGGGAAGCCCAGATGCCTTGGACCCCATGGCCAGCCAGGCCCATGTGCAGCAGCCATCCCGGAGGTGGCACGGAGCTGGGATTGATGTGCTGAGCTTGTTTTGGTGCCTGCCAGCCCCTTGTGGCACAGGCACAGGGTGCTTTTCTCCCGCACCGTGTTGCTTGTCAGCACGTCCCTGTAAGCAGCCGCTGGGCAAATGTGTGCTGAGAGCCAGTGTCAGGATGAATCGGGCTCACCTCTTGGGAGAAACACAACAGAAAGGGAAGAGCTCTGCAATAAACAACTGATGTGGTGGCACCTCGGTCCTCCTGGTGCCACTGCCTCGCTGCTGCCTGGGTACCATGGCCCCATCCAGTGCAGCCCCGCGTTGTCTACCCCATCCCTGGGGCCACCTGCCTGCTCCTTTGGCTTTATGGCCATGGCAACGGGTGGTTTGAGTTCGGTTGCAGCACTCCCCTCACCGATCCTCTCAGTGTCCCCCCGGCCAGGCTGTGCACCAGGGCACCCATGGGTGATGCTCCTCCTTGGGAGGTGCTGCCAAAGGAGGGCCTGGCTGCAGAAGCTGGGCACAGTTAAACCTTCCCCGTGCTGCTTGCTTCCTCGTCCTGTCACTAATGCACTGATTTCACCCACTGATTTGCTGCAAGTGTTGTATTCTGGGGTGATTAACGGGGGACAGGGCCAGGCTGGGCTCTTGGCAGGATGCTGGAGCAGGCTCTTGGTGCTCAGGGATCCTGTGCCATTTCACGGTATCCATTTCCCTGACCCCTTCCCACATTCCCTTTGGTGGCAGATGCTGGGGACTCTCCGTGGGGCAGCACCAGACCCCTTTTCCCCATGGATGGGAAGGCTCAGGGCGGCAGGAGGCAGCATCCTGCACTCCCCCTGCTCCTCTTCAGCTGCAAAGTTGTCAAAATGAAACCCCCAAATGCATCAAATCAATCACTGTTGTGCTGCTTCTTCCCCCCTAAACCCTGGGGTTTGCCATTAGGCAAGCTCTGGGGCTCTGAGCTTGCCTGGAAGCCCCAAGGGCTGTGGATGGCGAGAAGTAGGTTTTCCCCTTCCCTCTTTCCTTCTTTTTAATAAGAACCCCAACATTTTCAGCATCTCGATGTTTAATGCCTATGCTGGAGGGTTTGCAGTGCACCCCGTTACTCAGCCCACTGACACCCATAGTACCCTTTTGGGGTGTCTAGGGTACATGGAGGAGGTAGCACCGGTGGCTACCCTTGCTGCTCTAATGAGGCTTTCCCTCTAATTAATATTCCCTGGCAAAGCCGGCGCTGGTTCTGGGTCTCGGCTTTTATCTCTGCTGGCATTGATGTGACATCAATGGGAGATGGGGCTTTGAAAGCTGTTTGCTATTTGTGGTGTTGCATCTGTGCAGGAGGGAGGATGGAGAGGGATGTCCCCAAGCCCGGGTCCAACCCTGCTCCAATGCTTATTCCCTTCCCGAGACACACATTGGGATGTATTTTGGGAATCTCTGTTTCCAGCCCCTCCGAGAAGGGCAAAATTGGGCAAAACAATGAGTTTTCTGCACCCAGTTCCTTTGCCTGGGTATGGGTGTCTCATTCACACCCGACCCCTCAACTAATTTACACATCAGGACCCAGTTAGGTCACGCCTGAGCACCCCATTGCGCCATGCTTGGGTGGCCAATTAGCACCTGAACACCTAATTACCCCACACCTGAGCACCCGAGCTGCTCATGCCTCAGGGGCTGATTAGCTCCTGCCCGAGGGCTATTTTGGGCATAAACCGGCAGGTTTTGGTAGCTGAGGGCTGCAGCGGTGCTGATGCAGGAGGAGGTCGGGAAGTGCTGGTTGTGGCTGTTCTGAAAAGCCCGATGTCCACAATAGGGGAGCCTATAAGGGGCAGGAGATGTGGGGCTGGTGTAAGAAGTCCCTCTGTGCACCACTGAGCCCAGTTACTCCAGTATTCATCCAAAGGGAATTCACAGCCACCGGGCTGCAATGGTGAGTCCCTGAGCTGCAGCCTCCTATCCAGGGTATTTTGGGGTCCCCTTGCACCAGGGGGTGGGTGGGGGGTACATGTTGTGTCCCAGCTGCCCTCCTCCTTCATCCCACTGGAGCATCCGCAGGCAGCAGCGGGGGCTCCGCTCCCCCCTCGCTGTTTGCATTGCACAGATGTTCACGCCATCCAGCTCCGCTAATTCCAGTGCTCCTGACAAGTGAGTTTGCAGCTGAAGCCGGCCAAATTTTGCTCAGAATGTGCTTTTTCTCCCATCTCCCCCTTTTAAGCTGGCTTTCCATGTGGATTGGTGCGAGGGAATGGGGGCGGCTCTATAGGGGGATCTTGCTGCCTCAGTTTCCCCTCCCGTGAAAGCATATCCTGGCGATTCCTATCCATCACTAAGCTCTGGAATGTGTGCCCGGGTTGGCCTCTCCCAGAGCCATCCTGCGCTCCAGCTCCTTTTGATCCAGGATAAAGAGGGCACCCCAAGTCCTGTGTTTCAGGCAGTGCTTCCCGAAGTGGGGGAACCCCAGAGATGGGAAGATGCCTCTGCCTTTGCATGTGGATTGTTGTTGGGATGCTGCTGGGTGCAGTGCGTGGTCAGTGCCCAGGGGAGATGGGCTAGGGTGGGCTGGGGTTTTGGTGTTTATTGACCACGGTAACTATTGCGTTAAATCACAATTAAATGTGGATTTTGGGGGCTTTACGGAAGGGAGGAGGAGGATGTCCGGGGAGGAGGGTGCAGTTTGTGGGTACCCGGGTGGGAGGGGGGTTTTGAGGGTGCACAGAGGGACCAGGACCCCAGTGTATCCCAACCAGCCTCATCACCACCATAGCTATGTCCCCAGTAGACACTGTCAGTTCAGGTGAGGTGCTGGTGGCATCTCCAGTGCCTTTGGTGCTTTGTGAGCTGCTAAATTAGAGGCGAGAGATGCTGAGGGATCCGGGGCTGCTCATCAAAGGGGAGCAGGCTCCGCTTTTCATCTCGGGTTTTGTCTAAGGCTCCAGCAAGGGTGGATTTTGGGCTTAACCCCTTGTGTGCTGCAGCCTGGCTGGAGCATGCAGCAGCACTTGATGGTACCAGCTAAGGCTGAAACCCACATCAGGGACCCCAGGGAAAGCAGGAGGCAGGTGGTGATGCCCAGGCTTTGGGGTCAAAGCTCCCATGGGAACAGCAGGATGGGTCCCCATGCATAGGAGCTGGTTTCTGGCTGCAGCATGGCTCTCATGAGGCCCCTTTTCCCAGTGCTTCTGGGCTGCTTTGGGGGCTGTACCCACAGACAAAGAACCTGAGTGTCCCTGTATGACCCAGAGTTCTCCTCCCTCGCGAATCTGGGACAGGCAGAGCTGGGCTTGCTGCAATTATCCACGGATTAAAGGCAGCTAATTTCCTTTGAGTTATGGAGGCTAAATCAGATCGATACGTTGGGGTGAAGCACATAAAAGAGGAATCAATAGGTATTCAGGAATGCAGAAAACAGGCTATAATATCCCTACGGGATGATGCTGCTGGGGCCGGGGCAGTGGTGATGCTCCAGTGGTGTGTTCAGGAGGGAGAGCAGGAGATGTAGGAGCGGGTGGCAG